TTTTTATTCTTGTTCGTGTAAATTTCATGATTAACTACTATTGAGCTATATAGAGACAGATTAGCTAATAATTAAGCTGAATTAACTTGATTTCTCAGCTTGAAGTGGCTCTGCTTCAAAGCCATGGTTAAAGCTTCAAAGCCATGGTTAGCTTGATTGTTAGCTTATTTTCATTACAGATCACTCTTGTTATAGTGAAGTGATCAGGCTGTGAGATTTTCTTCACTATATCAAGAGTCTATTAGTAAACTCACTATATCAAGCGGTTTTTTTTATATAAACTGTTCTTCACTATAACAAGAGTGAATTGTATTCAAATTGCTAAGCAAACCGGTTGATAGTATATAAATGATTTCAAATAAATAGACAAAATTCAGACTTGTTGAAGATTTTCAGCGAACTGGTTGATGGTACAATGCTACCATACAATGATCAAAATTGATGATTAATCATTAGTAACCTGGACAAGATAAAGAACTCTTGCAGATAACTTATAATGTGTAGCACAAGCAGAACTTGACTTGTGCTAAATAAGACAAAAAAGTAGCTAAATATGAAAAGAATTAGTCAAGAATTTACATGTATATTTTTTTAATAAAATTAAATAAAAGCATCATTGGACCGTCATGCGAACTTTGTTATTTTTTATTACTTAGATTGACTTATTCTAAATTATCTAATGCTAATATACAGTATTTAATTTATTTAAGGTCTTGCTGTTTATTAATTATATATAAATAAAATAAAATTTCTTAGAAAGAAAGTATGAATGATCCAGTGTTGGCCAAAAGTAGATCATATAATGTTTTTTATATATAAAAAGTTTAAATGTTATAATTCATGTAAAAAGTTTAAATGTTATAATTTAGTTATGATATTAAATAATCTACTATTGGCTAATTGTCATGTGCTATTGACCCCATCAGCTCATGGCTCCATGTTCAGCTATGTTCGGCTTCAGATCTTTAGCCAAGCCATTTCTAGAGCCAATACTTTATTAGTAGACCCTTAGCCAAGCCGATAATCAGCTCGGCTTAGCCGATCAGCTTGCAGCTTAGCCTTAGCCATTCGCATCACTAGTCATGATGACCTTAGTGTATATCAAAATAATAAAAATAAACATGATGTTGAACTTTTTTAAAATCTATTATTTAAAATATATTGAATCTCTACTACATAATGGTCTGATACTGCTAAACTTACTTTCTGAATTAACTCCTTATCACCTTCCCAATCCTTATCATATCTGTATACTTTACAATTTTTGAATTTATACTCATTAGATTCTTGATATATTATCCGATCATATGATTTAAATTTACTTTTTTCACCACTGGGTATAACAGTAGTATCCTGTTCATTGCCTATACCACATGTTAACTCTAATTCCAGTAATTTTTTATTAAAATTTGGCATTAATCTCTGTGTAAAATCTGCATTGAGTCGCCCAAGATAATTACTGGATTTTTACCAGACTCCTCAAGTACTTTAGGGTAAACTTGTTCTAACAATTTCATCGTTTCATTATATGAATTATCTGGTTTGGTATGGCACCCAATTAATGTAATACTATCTGATATTACCATTTTACCACCATATAATTTTTGATGTTTATTTTCAAATCTAACAACAAATGGAGGTCTGGTGATATCCAAGTCAAAAACATATTTTTTTCCCAATGTCTATTTATCTTTTTTGTAAAGATAAAGATACTTTTCTTTACCTTTATCTTTTCCTGACAGTATCATGGTATATTCATAATCGGGTAAATATGGCATCAAATTTGTATTAAGAATCTTTTCTGAAAAAGTTACTTCTTAACAAAAAATTATATCATAACGTTTTATGATGCTAGCAATAATTTCTAATATGCTTGAATTGTTAATTTTTTTGGATCCAAATTTTCTAATGTTAAATGCTCCAATTAAACTAATTTGTGGATTTAATATTGGTATAGTACTATGTAAGTCTCGTCCATGTATTAATAAATATTCATCTATTTCATCTTTATTATAGACAGGCACTTTTTCTTTCTAGGAGTTGATGTTGATGATTTAGGTTCTTTACTACTGAAAGACCTTGATAAGATTTCATTCAATACTGTTGTGTTGAAGAATCTACTAAAGTGGTATTGGATGACCAGCATCCTAATTCTTCACCATAATACGCATCATACATACTATGGATATCTTTACACAAAGAACAACAACGTTCATTGAGTTTTATCTTATTGAACTTGGTATCAGTAGTTCCTTCCTCCTCATCAAGAGGATATATTTTCAATGTTATGAGGATAAAATCTCTGGAAATTTTACCCTTGCAAGTTTTTAAATATTCATTAATAGCTTGTTTATCATATTTATTAGCTATAAAGCTGCATTTTTTCCAAGATGAACCCCTTTTCTTTGAAGAGAATTGGACTGGATACATAAGACCACATGCATATTTGCAATTGCAAATATGACTTAAATGTTTGCATCTCGAACAACAGGTGTGGAAACCTGATTTTTTGCACAAAGGACATGGAAATTGTTTTCTCCATGTGAATTTAAGAAAGTTGCCGTTCATTTTTATATCATCAACTAAATCAAAAAATATTTCAGGAGTTATATTAAAACGTGAATAGAATCCATTATTAAAAAAATCCTAAACAGAAATAAATTCCTCTCTGGGAGGAGGTTATGGTGATAAAGTACCGATAATATTATTATTAAAAGATGAAGAAGGTGCTATATAAAGTGGTGATAGTGATAGTAACGGAATATGAGATTTTTTGTTCATATGTGATTGAAGAATTTTAATTAAATTCTCCACCTCGTAATCAGTCAAGGAATCAGCGATTTTAATAAGTTTTAATTGTGGAGTCATGATTTCAGATTTTAAATTTGGAAATTGAAAATTGTAGTATGAATATAGAAATTATAATATGAATGAGTTTTGAATTGAGTTTAACATGGAATCAATCTATGGAATTTATAATTATTCCCTGTTACACTCGATACGTGATCTACACAATCCTGTAGATTTGAATCAATTGTTAAAAAGAATCGGTTTTGGATGATTATCTCACAGATCATGAATGAATGGATCTGGTATGTCAATCGTTATCTTTAGTTTGTTCATGCAATTTGACAATATTTGAGAATTATGATATTTGTCAATCTTTTGTTTGATATACATTTCCATAGCTTTAACCTCCATCCCTAAGCAAACTAATAAAAACGTACTCTCCTTACTAAAGTAATGCATTGCGTCAATTTTATGAATGTCTGGGTCAAACTCATCTACAAGTCTCATTCTGGAAGCCACATCTTTAATACCTGGTTGTTTCACAATAACGTATTCGAATCGTCCATTTATTTTCTTATCGGAATTCCTCGAATAATAGAGGTTCAGAAAATTTTTAATTTGTATATTATCACCTTTCTCGTAATCTACTAGTTTAAGTGCAGTATTTCTATATTTTAGTGTACTATCACCAAGTCTTACCTAAGAAGTTTTCTTAGTCCAATCTATTTCACTATCAAATTTGTAAACTTTTTTTTCATCGTGTTTAACAACATGTTGAGTATATAAGATTAGTTTATCGTTGATCACTTTCCACCAACCACATTTGAAATTTTTATATTGTATCTTGTCACATATAGTAGTAATATTTATTTTATCACCTGAAACCTTTGCATTCTTGGCAAAAATAATAATATTTGATTTTATGTCTTTTGATAAAGCTAAATCTATCATTTCATCCAGGACTTGATCTGCACAATGTCTCATCCAGTTGTATTGTCCCTTATATATATAAAAATTTACATAGTCTTCGATTGTTTTAAGCCCAAGGTTGTACATATACTCAGCCATTTTTTTATAATCGTAAACATTATAAAGTACTTTACGCTCAAACATCTTTTGAAATTGACTAGCTTCACATCGTACAATATTTAGACCCTGACTAAATTATTGGAATAACGATTCATGTCGAACAAACAGACCATCTCATCAGTTTTTTCGAAGTACTTTTCAACTAATAAATCTGGTACTAGATCTGGATTATAGATTTCAAAATGTTGTGATAAAAACCTCTTGGTTTTACACCATGAATTATCCCATTCAAATTTTGGATTTTCCATTGAGAGTCCAGCGTATCTTTTTTTGCCAAATGATGTCATGAACACCAAAACTTTTTCTAATACAACCTTGATCATCTCACATCCATCACGAGTGTTCAATTCGTTAAACTCTTTAGCAATCTTACTTGCTACCAAATGAGTTTCTTTAGTTACATCATTATAAAAATTATAAAGGTATTTGGTATATTCTGTGATAGAACTTGCATTTCTGAATAAGTCCACGTAGACATTAATAATTTCCTCAAGTCTGGCTTGTTGCATCATCAACAAAATAGAATCGGTATCGCCATATACAACGCGGCATCCTTGACCCCTAATAAAATCAGCCAATTTATGAACCTGTTCCCTACCAGTAGATATAACACCTGCTAATATCTTTATATCCCAATGATGGATGAGATTAAACCTGTCAGACCGTAGATGGAATTCGCTAATACCTTGAAAGCTAATTGCTGTTGGTCATAAAGACTGTGATAAAATGATCCTTCTTCGTATTGCTTTTTCATTTTCTTGGCCTCATTTCTTTTTTTAATAAGGATTTCTAGTAAACTTGTCAATGAACCAATATATTCACTTCTGTCTAGAAAAGTGACTTTATCCAAAATATCACCCTTATCATTGGTGATATTAATCATACGAGTCTTTACAGATCCATCAACATATCTTTTTTTACCTGATGGTATATCATATTCATATACCTTGGTATCGGGTAACATATTATACTGCATCATTATACTAGGATAAAGAGATGAAAAATCCAGAGTTGCAACAAGTAAAAGATAGAATCCCTTATCTGGGTCAAATACAGAACCACCCTGGTATCCTTTCTTTTTCTTTTTCTTTTCTCCTTTGTCCTCATTATCATTGTCCCAAACTCTGGGTGGGTATGAAATGGAAATCGTATCAGGGTAATGCTTGTTTATGTGTCCATTGAATGAGCATTGAAATAACATCTCACTTGAACCTCTATGTGGTTGGGCAAATTCACAGTTTGCTAAATTACTTAACGTATTGTATCATAACCACTTGTGAACCTTTACAAGTAATTCAACAACCCTAGCACAATCATTGAAACAGTATAATAAAATTTTATCATTTGTTTCTATATCTGGTTTATCTTGATTATAAATAGCATTATGTAATGCTAAATTCATATCATCGGCAGTAACGTTATCTTTAGAGGGAAGTTCTAAAGTGTTTAAACAACTGTTTAAACTTGCAAATCGAGTGTCGCCAGGAAATTGTTGTTTGAACATTAACATATTGTCCATAACCATAGTTCTGTCTATAGCAATATATTGAACATTTACACGCTTGGATTGTGATATCTTGACCTCTGTTGCTACAATCTTTTTATAATTTAATAATTCTGATAGAGATAACCATTTGCCACTACTGGCAATCTGGTAAAATCTTTCAATCATATTAAGATGTTCTAAACGTTTTATTATAAACTTGTAATCGTAACCACAGATATTATAACCTATTAATATATCTGGTTTCTTTTCTGCCCATAACTTTGCGATAAACTCATAAAACTCCCTTTCATCTTTAGCCCATTGTATCTCAATTGGAATATTGTGATTGGTCATTTTTTTAGTCATAAATTTATCAACATTGTTTACAGTGCTGGTTATGATGTCATCTAGTGACATATTAGAATTTAACTCTAAAGATTTGAAAAATTCCTTTGAATCAATGAGATGATGGCCTTGTTCCCGATTTATCAAGTTGTTAATTTTTAACGTTAGCTCTTTGTCAGAGCTGTATTTGATAGGTAATTTATCATTTACCAACAATATAGCAGATACAAATTCTGGTACTGTCGTATCACCTCTGTAAAAGACTGAAACACATTGGTATGCTCTATCATCAACTGCTGAGCCCTCGGGCATCCGTGATAGAATTTTAGATGGATCACAAAAGGATCCCAAGTTGCATGTTTCCAAATCAAAGGACATAATAAGCTTTGTATTACTATAATCTTCCTCGAATATCAAATCATTGATCGTGAACTCGTTTTCGTAATGATTAGTACTCATACATTTTGTTGCATCATTTAATCTAAATACTCCCGATAAAGGAAGAGACCTCGTATTCCCACCTACCGTAACCATAGTTTTAGACGCTATAAACTGTGCATACATGTCTTTAGTACAATCTTCTAATAACTAATAAGCTCCAATTTTTACTTCTCTGATTTTACTAATGGCATTCTTTCTATCATTGTGATTCTTGAGCTTGATACGTATATACTTGTGTTTATTCACAGTAACTACGCTCATACTAACTGGAAAAATTGTTTTCCTCAATTTACCATCAATTAATGTATTACTCATAAGATCCTGCTTTAAGATATTTTTGAACAACTCAGTTTTACCATTATATACAATACCATCTGGTATCTTTACATCAAAATAAACTGGTAGTCCCTTTATTAATATCCAAGTTGTAAGACCTTGGTCATTCCTACATTTTATCTTTATTCGATACATTTGAGTTCTCTTATCAACCACATCATTTACATCAATCATAAAAAACCTATCCCCAGGTTTAAACTTTAGTTCCTGAGGATCGATTTTACGTTTTTTTACACTTGGTTCGTTTACAAACATAATATATTTTTTATTTGTATTGAATGAAATAAAATTGAGTAGATACATAGTGTATCATGTTTATTTATAAATGTTTAAGAATTTTTTTTAACTTTCTTAGCTGAAATTACTACTTCAATATGATCATCAATCTCCTCCCTAACACGTTTACGAATATTGCTCATCAAACTTGTGTAACTAATACTACTACTAGTACATACTTGATAAACACATCTCTTGACTATCAAGTCACGTATAATTTGTCTACATTTAATATAATGACAATCTAATATTTCTTTATATGAAATTAAATCATCTGGAATCTTGTCAATATATGAATATTTTTCGGGTTTATCAAGAAATTTCTTATGCTCATCTGGAGCCAAATGATACACATGAAGAGAAAAAGTATCATTATCCTTTTTGTTTTTCAAATTTAATAATAATTTATCTTTAAAATTAATTTTGACGTCCAGTTTTTTCTTGGCATATAAAGGAGAAAAAATCGGTGGACTCACGTGATGTGTCACGAACGTATAGTATAAAAGATAACAGTACAAACCGCGATCATGTATAGATTATTAAATACCTTCCCTCAAGTTTACGAATACTTATAATAATAATATTCTGACCCATTAGGAATTGATGGAAACGAGTTTCCGCTTGTTCACGGGCATTATTCATTAATCCCCCGTGGTCTTAATATAGCGATCGGGGATTAACTATTTGGTTCATTTGTTCACGTTAATTTAGGTGAAAATAAAGAAAATTTAATAATCTAAGTGCTTAAAATAAGCCATATATTCAAGTTATAAATTTAATGCGTTTGAACAAGCACCCGTTAGGATATCCTAATGACTGAACTTGCTGCCCATTTTTTAGAAAAATATATATCTTGAAATAGCGGGCGTTATTTTGAGAATTTACAGTAGTTAATATCACTACTTCTAATATATTATTTTATTAGAATGGAATTTCAAAATTTAATCAACTATTTTAACGAAACGGACCTCAAAATTAGTCTAACTGTACATGGATTAGATCTCGACACCGTAAATGAATTCAAAACGAATTTCATATTAATAAAGAACCACAAGCTAATTGGCAAGAGAGTTGGAAATAAGGCCAAAGCAATTTCAATACAGGAAGTAGATCATGATTTTAGAGGGCATCTCTATGATCGCCTCGAATTGTAACAATTCAAACACTCAATCCACTGTTTCTCAATGGCTATTACAAACAATCATTCCCGAGTGCAGAACAAATCGCCAACCTCGTGATGCTACCCCAAAGATCCCTACATTCAAACTTTGAAAAAATAGATCCATTTTATGCGTGTGGATAATGGAAAGATTGACAACACCATAGGAGCATTCTACAGAAATTATTGTGACTTACTTTTAATCATTTCATAATATTTTTATTTTCTAGATATTGGAAACGAGATCATATGATCTATAATATGTGCTTTTTTTATTTTCATACTTTTTAAGTCTTGTGTATATATAATTATCGTTATCGACAGAAAAACAAAAACATTGTGGTTAAACAATATGACCAGATAGTTTTAAATGATTCACTGTTCTTGTACAAATAGTCTTATTCATTATTAGTTGATTAAATTATCATAAATTATTCAAATTACTCATTACATTACAATTAATAATATGTTGAGAGTAATATTGTATATATAAGGGAGAGGGGGTAATATGACGAATCGAGATTATCTCGGGATTCCATCAGAATTGGATGAAATTTACACCATTCGATTCTTCTCGTCGAGAGGTGTAAATTTTATCCGATTCTGATCACGGCATCCCCGATCGGGACGATGATGTTATGCTGCAAAACTATGCATGCAACAAAAGTAAATATATGCACTTTTATGCGCATATATTTTTTCTTAATTATGTGTTTGCACCCAAATTTTATAAAATACGCAGTTTTATAACTAAGTATGAAAGCCGTCTTTGGAATAGTTCGGAACTTCCATCCGATTTTTTTCTCGACCTTGTTCGTAATTTGTGTTGGCTGATTTTCTATCGGAGCTTTTCGGACAGCACTTAGAACCAATTATGCGATAATTACTTAATAGTGTCGTATTTTATGCGGCAAATCTAACATGTTATGCGTAGCTAAAGATATCAGAGAGGGATCGAATGATAGATTTCATCCGATTCCAATCACGGGATCCCAAGATAATCCCAATTCGTCATAATACCCCCACGGCCAATTTTTTTTAAAAATAATTCAAATTTAAATATTTTGTGATCCAGTGATCTGAGTCGAATAATTTTGGTATCATTCAACTCAGCTCGATAAGACGAATTAGATGCTACTAAAATCATTCGATCTTGACCAATGCATCACGTGACACGATCGAAAATATTTAACTTCGTCATAATACCCCCTTCTCCCTTAATCAAAAAAAAAATCAAAAAAAATATAAATATAGTTTAATATATAATAGTAATAAAATAGTAATAAAAATCAAAAAATTTTATGATATTAAATTTTACACTAATTCTAAAAAAATAATATTCGTCATAACAATATTTTGTTTACAATTAGCAATTATGGGTTAACCAACGTGGAAGATGATGATGGGCTTGGTGCTGGGAAAAGAGACGAATTTGACAAAAAAAATAATATATATATAAGAAATTAATTATTTCATGAACTATTGATCAGAATCGTATGATTTGGGTACATTTGATTCAACTCAATGAGATATTGAACGGTATCAAAATCATGTAATTCTGATTAATAGTTCATAATTAATCTTTTGTATATATATTTTTTTGTCAAATTCGATGGAACTTTCACTTTTATACAGTAATTATTTTTCACTTATTGCGTATATATTCGATATAGCTATTAGACCTAATAAATCACTATGTCTAGTCATTAAATTACTTAATTTTCTTAACCTGAAAATGAAAATAAAGTTTTTATTAATTTATAATCTTGATTTAACAAATTTGATTGGTTTTTGAATTTGACACTATTTGAATAAAAATATAAATTTTGATTTTAATTAATAACCCAAATGAAGTAGAAATCCCGATGAAAAGGTTTACATCTTGAGAAAGTAAACATATCATCGGAAAACTGTGACTTCTAAACCAAAACTATGTAAAAAAAGGCTTGGATAGTAATCCTCTAATCAACCAAGTTTTGCCAGTTCTTGCAAAAACGAATGAGGATTTAGTATCTGAGTAGATCCGTAAATAATTTTCTTCTTGACAGCTTGGCGCTAAAAATGAATTAAAGTAAGATATACAATTATATGTACAAAAAGACAAATCTATCCACTTTACCTGCGCAAATTCTTGTAAATTTTGGTATTCAATGTAATTCCCGCCACCAACAACAAATACAATTCCTTCTTGGAAAGCAATTCTATTCTTAGGTTGCTTATTAGCACTGGAACTTCTTGTCATCTTCGGATCAAAATAAAGATAATCATCTGTTTTATTTGCGCCACTGGTAGTTGGTTCCATTATTGACTCTACTATTTTCGTTAGAGTCAAATCTTTGCGTGTCGGAAGTAAATTTTTCACACCAGAAATTAAGTTCTCGAAGCCACCACCAAGACCACCTTCTTTTAAACGATCTGTCAACTGCAAAACCGATATTAATGATGGAAAAAATTAATTTCATAATTTAACGTTTAAAATATTTTCTGATAAATAAATAATAAAATTTAATAACCTTATTTCCTATGGAACTAAATCCTTGAAAAAGTTGACTAGATTGACTTTGAGAAACCGGCGCTGACATCATAGTCATTCTGGTAATTTCACGTACTCTGCATGTAAACGAAATAATGGAATTGATTAAATATTTATCTTTAAAATTCCAAATAACAAATTGTTAAAATGAATAAACAAAACGCACGATAAGAAACTAAAAATTTGCTGACTTTTTGACATAGTTCAACGCTGATAAATCGCACTTAGCAGCACGCAAAGCGGCTTCATATTCAACCATATCTTCTTTCGTAATTTCGTCAACGGACAAATAGTAAATAATAAAAAATCGTAACTTGTCTTCTGGTGATTTTTTCTCAGGATCTCGGATAGCATCTAAAACAGCAGTTTTATTTTGCCGTGTGATGGACTCTTCCATTTGAAAAAATGTATCTAATTGACGTTCTTTAATTCCTCGTAACAGAGACGTAGCAATATTCATATGCATATCGAGAGTTTGCTTTCGTGCAGTAAGTTCTGGTAGTGCAGTAATAGCCGATTTCAAATGTTGAGTATTTTGGGAGAAATCTGCTTGATCAACGTCATCTAGTGAATTTACCCCACTAAGTCTTGTTATCTCAGCAGCATCGAATTTGTAACGATTTAATTCTAAATCAATATCTTCAGCCACTTGAGGAAATGGACTTGAAGCATTTTTAGCCCAAAAAAAGTCTTTACTATCTAAATCAAAACTTTTTTTGATAATACGACCCATTTCTTCCATTTCTACTACGATTCTATTTAAATGCATATCCAATACATCATGAATCAAGGCTTGATAAGTCCAAGAATGACTTAACATTGGAACTAAATCAATATTTCTATCTAGAATGAGTAGTACAGGTCTTTGAAAATTTAAAGAAGCAGAACTCTCAGAAAATAGATTATTCCGAGAATTTAATATATGGTCACGTAGTCGACTATCAAGCTTTTGTGCAATCATCTCAGCAGCATTCCCTCGTGGACAACGAATAATTGGTATAACACCCATAGTTACTAATACCGAAAATAAGGAACTAACAGTACGATCTATGGCATTTTCTATAGCAGTTTCTGCAGCAGTAGGATCATTCAGTGAATAATAAATGTTGGGTTGATTGAGTGAAAAGAGATTCGGTTCAGAAACGATAAAATTCAAATATTGGTCATAGACTTGAGAGATCAAAGTTGAAGTGTTATTTGGTATCGTAGCAGCAGCTAATTCTTCTAATAATGGCCTTGGAATAGTAGTCAAAAAATTAATATAGTACGATTCATAAAGGTTTTTGGCCAAATCCTATATATTTATTTATGATAATAATAAGTAAAATGAGAGATATAAATAATTAAGAACAATTTAATAGCGTAAATCTACCTCACTGATCCTCTGAATATTTTCAGAAGTTGGTTCTACGAAATAAATAGCGGGAACATCAGCAATAGGATGCCTTTCACTTCTCAATAGCCTAAAAAATAACGAATAAATTAAATTAACAAATTCAATTCGGACAGTTAGAAAAGTAATCTAAACCTAAATTGATTGAACGTCTTACATATGAACTGTTACGCCGTTATCCCTAAGATCAGCAACTTTTAGAACAGAAGAAATGATGTCACGACCAAATTCGTCAAAAATTAGAACCTTCCATACTGGATCAGAGGTGGTTGTTGGTACCATGAGATTGTCTAAAGATGCATTCGAAAATGTTGGTTCGGGCTTGACATTAAGATTAAGCATAGTGATTATGGCATCTGTCCGTTATAAAAATTATATAGTAAACGTACTCTTACGATTTCTATGCGTTGGAGACCGATTATATATTAAGGAAAGCTTACCAATTTGTTGATCCCTCAAACTCAAGTCCCTTGGAGTGCTCGTCATTATTACAAAAAAAAATCGTGGTTAAATTGAATCGTTAATAAAAATCTAGATAAGGTTATCATCATTTAATTAAATTACCGTTTTTTTAATGTATGGCCACAATGTCATTATCATGTACACTGCAAATCATTATTATGTACGTACGTACGTATATAGCAGATACGTCACATCTAGTAAAAAAATACAATCTTCTCCGGACCTTAAGATACCTATTCTTTGGTTTTAGATTTTCTTGTATATATAATTTGATTGACGGTTAAAAAGCTAATATATAAAACTAAAATAGACATACTAGCAGCGTCATGCCGAATTATTATATATACGTAAATAATAACATTTATTTATTATCATTTATGCCTGATAATTGCTTAATATAAAAGCTAACAATAAAAATTTTAATAAAATAGGATTGTAAAATTGTAAAATTTGGGGTTTTCAGAATTAATGATTCTACGTCCGATTTCAGATAAAATAAGTAACGTATTTATTTCAAAAGAAGTGGCGTATAGATCCTATTTTTTTTTTTTTTTTTTACATATTAAAAGATATTTTATTTTCTGATTCGGAATTTTTTCCGAAATAAATTAATTCCGAAATACTTATTTATAATTAAAAATTTGCCAAGATTAAAATACCAGTAATAAGATTAAAATAATAATAATAATAATAATAATAATAATAATAATAATAATAATAATAATAATAATAATAATAATAATAATAAT